AACAGGACTGTCTGACTCAGCCTTGGGCTAGCCGCTGGGAGAAGCAACCTGACTTTCTTTGAGCCCTCTTCCCCGCCATAGAGACATGGCTCCGCAGGGCCATCTCCCTGCCCCCCGTCTGGATCACTTGCGGAGAGGTGGAGGGCTTATCTTTTTGCAATGATGGTTGCGATCTGCAATGCAGACGCACAAAGTCTCTGCATGCCCTGCGGCGGGCTCCGGGTCCATTATTTCTATTTGGGTGGGACCTGTGAGGGGAAAGAGTGTGAAATGTGGGGGTGGGGAGGTGTCTGCCATCCCCTGCTCAACTCACCACGCGACTTTGCTCAGGTCTGCTGCCCCGAGGGGCGAGCAAGAGTCTCCCTCGCACCCCCAGCAGGGAGGGATGTGCTCATCCCCACCGTGGCACCTAGAAGCCGATTTGGACAGCGCGGGCTGGTGTCCCRTCCCTCCCCCCGAACACCCTCGAAGTCCCTCCTCACCAATCAATCAACTTTTAACATGACAATGGCCGTGACAATACCTTCCAGCCAAGGGCAGGCCGGGGAGGACTTAAAGCATCCCCCCCACCTCGGCCCGATGGATTGCTGTCCGCGGGCCGCCGGCAGCCTCGACARCCACATCGCCTCATGCTCGGGGCTGGGGGACCCGGCCCGGCCATGAGCGCCCACCTGGCCACGCCGTCCTACACGTCCTACCCCGGTGCGGCCAGGTATGGCGACTACTACTGGTTCTCCGCAGGCAGCATGGACGGCGGGCCCGCCGAGGAGGCTCCGGCGCCGGACATCCTCCCCTTGCCCGCGAACAAGACGCCCAGTCCCTCAGGTAGGCGGCCGGCCGGGCCGARCGATCGGGCTGCCCTGGGCTGGCAATGGCCGTACCCTGTGTGTCCGTCCGGGGCCGATGCCRGGCTGCGGGCAGAGTGGCCCCGGCCCGGGCGAGGCTGCGGTGGCCGCGGTTCCGTCGGCGGTTCCGCTGGAGCGGGGGAGGGTGGCGGGAGCGGAGCGCTGCTGCCGGCGGCCCGGCCTGGCCGCTCTGCTCTGCCCACACGGGACGGGCCAAAGGGGCGAACAGAGAGGCGCCTCCGYTCCGCTGCCACGAGGCTGCCTGTGCCCACCTCCCGCGCTGCACTGCCCACGGATGCAGAGCCCCTGAGCGCTGCCAGGGCACTCGCAATCCCAAATTCTCCCGAGAATCTGGACTTTAGAGGTTCTTGCATCTTCCCTGCCTAATTCTGCTCACTGCAGGTAATTTTTTTTTTTTTTCTCCTCAGTTGATTCTCCAGCTTCTTCCAGCTCTGGGACGCTCACCCAGTACTACACCCCCGACTCCGCCACGAGCCCCACCGCAGCACTGAGCCTGCCCGCCCCCGCCTCTTCGCAGAAGGTCAAGGCTCAAGGCAAGGGTGTGGTGAAGTCGGGCAAGAGCCGCACAGCCTTCTCGCAGGATCAGCTGAARGCCCTACACCAGCGCTTCCAGAGCCAGAAGTACCTCAGCCCCCAGCAGATCCGGGAGCTGGCTGCTGCGCTTGACCTCACCTACAAACAGGTGAACATCTTGCTCTGAGCGCAGCTGAGTTGGGGTTTTTTTTTGTGGTTGGTTAGTTGTTGGGGTTTTTTTCCCCTTAGACCCCAAAGATAAGTTTCTTTCATTATCTTGTTCGTGATACGGCTTACGTGACAGCAGAGGGTGTGAAAATTTATGACTCAGTCTTCTTATGTTTGGTTCCAGCACTATCCACCCACTCCATGCAGGTGTTTGAAAGGGCCTGCAGAGCAGCAAAGCAGAGCTATGCAGAGTCAGGTTACTGTTCTGCATGGACGTGTTGTCTCTGTTGTAAGTCAGTTACCTGCACTGCTATGTGAAATACCTTTCTTAGAGTGGCACGTTGGTCTCCCTTGAGAAAGGGTCCTTGCCCCACCAGCTGCCTGTGTCTGACCAAAGGAACTTGTAGGAAAGACGTGCTAATGTCTTCACAAATAATTCCWTGGACGAGGGTATGGGTGTTAACATCTTTGAAATGGGTCTTAATGTCTCTACCCACTGTAAGCAGCAGTTTTGTTCCAGAGCCCAGACAGTTTGACTCCTGAAACAAATAGGTCTGCACAAGCCTGAGTTTCTGAACTTCAGGAGAAAACGACGGGTTCAAGGGGGATGGGGGTGTGTGTGGCAAGGGGTTCGGGGAAGCTCTATTGTCCCCAGCCAGTGGGGAAAGGAAGAGGACAATATATAGCTGGGAGTTTATGATTAAAGGAGGCTGTGCCCTCTGAAACCTTGAGAGAAAAAGCCCCGCGGGCGCATGTGTGTCCCAGTGGATTCTCTCGCCCTCCATTCSAATRAAGTCACAGGACTCCTCTGCCTCCTTTATGGACACTGGCTTTTCATAGCGGGATTTTCTGTACAGAACGACTCACTCCTGAGGTCCTGATCTTGGCACAGCAGTGAGATGGTACTGTACATGCTGAATTCTGTATTTCCTTTGGCTGGTGTATTAGGTAGGGTTTTTAAAGTCAGAAAGGAGTAGGAATGTTAATTTTCATGTCTGAGCTCTGATTTCACAGCTACCTGCATCTGCTGCACGCTGTTAGCTGCTGTAATTATTTACAGTATTAGAAGCCAAGCAGAAACTGAATACTAGCAGAAAAATGTGTGTAGTAAGGTCTGAAAATTAATTTGTAATTTCTTATGTTCTTTTCTACATCACTTAGGTGAAAACATGGTTTCAGAATCAACGGATGAAATTTAAGCGTTGCCAAAAGGAAAGCCAGTGGATGGAAAAAGGGATGTATCTATCACAGGTGAGTAGAATTCCCCATCACCACCAGTTCATGGCTCCTCCAAGCTGCGGGGAGAAGTGTTTCATGGGCAGCCTACTAATTCGAACTGCGCAGGACTCAATATTACCAAGCCAGCTGTTTTTCTCATAACAGGGTTTACAAAATATCTCTTTTAAGCTGGTTTTCTCCCCAGCGTGGTGTTCCTAGACACCTTGAGTGCTCATTGAGCAGATTACTAAATGAAGAGGCAGTCATCTCTGCTATTACTGGACTATTGGGAGGAGAAAGGGTGTGAAAAAGRCCCTATTGTTCGGCTTGGAGGAAGGGCTGGGGGAGGAATGAGGATCCATGGTCACGAATGGGCCATTGGTATGGTTCTGTGCATTACTGAACGACTTTCTTTGTCTCTTCTAGCATGGGGTTCATCAGGCTGCCTACCTGGATATAGCACCCACGTTTCACCAGGGCTTCCCTGTCGGCGCCGACAGAAACCTTCAGGCTGTGCCCACCATGCACCAGTGTTATGGCAGCGGACAGACTTACGGGAATGGGCAGAACCTGTACTCATTCATGTCTGTGGAGGATGAGGTGCTCTTTGAAAAAGGTGGGACAAGCTGCAATAACCAGCAAACCATGGGTTTATTAAACCAGCAAATGAACTTATATCACAGCTACTTTGACAGTACAGATTACATCAGCGTGGAAGTAGAAGGTACCTTCAACTTCCAGAGCACCTCTGACAGTGGCACACCCTTCCCGAGCTCTCCTATACAGAATCAATGCCAGGTAGCTTGGCATCCCATGGGGACCCAGAGTGGCTTTTGAGCCTCACATTTAAGCATTTTTTTTCCCCATGTCTTGTGCTCGCCCGTGGTATTTCCAGGGTCTTGACTCAGGGACATACAGATTCTATTCGTTTTTCTGCCCCTCCTCCACTACTCTTGTTTTAACCTCGAGAGTGGCTCAGCACCCTGCTGCCTGGGGCTAGTTTTCTGTTTAAGTGTGCCTGTCTGTTCACAGCTAACCCTTGGCAAAGATGCTTCGGGTATCCGTGAGATGGAACCTCATTCATTGAGGCCAGTGTGCAATGTCACAGCTGTGAGCAGCAGAAGTTGTTAAAGTCTCTTTGTTGTTCGAGTTTCACCTTCTTTTGCTGCTTCTTTAGCAGGTGATCTCTGATCCTTGCCCTGTGTGTCTTGCAGCAGAGGTTCCACTGCAAAGGAGGTGAATATTTGTTGTTGCAGAATTGTTTTTCATAAAGTGTGGTGTTCTTTGTTGTTGCGTTTTTTGCAGTGTTACCAAGCATATTTAATGTTATGTGCATGTTGTCTTTTATTACTTAATGTTCAATGTTCTTAATGTTCTTACAAAGTTGTTTGAATTAAAAATAAATTTATTTTAACGCTTAACAGTGTCACCGGCTTGCATTACAACAGCCTGCTACAAGAATGGTTATTCTACCCAGGTTAGACCTGCAGTACTGAGGAGAGGGAGGGAAAAACTAACCCTACTGTGTTTCTCCCAGGGATGGGATCAAGCAATTGTTTAAAAGGATTAAGTCACAGATATCTATCACCTGTTTTTAATATGCAGGTGTGTTTCCTAATGCAAGGAGGGYGGGGGAGCCTCCAGGACTAGGCAGCTGGACAAGCTGCTGGCTTGAAGTGATATGCAGCCCTGTAACATGCTTATAGTAGTCCTTAAACAGCAATGCCTCAAAGAAAAAAAAAAAAGTATTGAACAATAATGACGGAGCAAAATAAAGTGTCCCGTAGACTTTGTGTTTTTCTGTGTTCTCCAGAAGGTCACAATTGAAGGTCTGGAACCCTTAATTAATTTTTGGGTTTCTTGTGCTGACCTCAAATAGCAATAGGAGACTGTGGGTAAGTAACTGTATCTCCCGCCTCCAGCACTGAAACAAAACCGGAACCAAGTTGCCATTACGAGTCATACTCTAGCAGAGATTATGTGTAATTCAGCGGGTACTCCCACCGAACACAATTAGCTGAACTGGCAGCTGACTGCACAGGCTCGAACTGCTACAGGTCCTTCACCAAACAGAGCCTGCTTGTGCACCAAAGCATGCACCCTCTCCTTCTGTAACACTGCAATCCTCTGCTCCCAAGGTGAGGTGCAATAGGTACAGGAAGGAGAGAAGAGTGGAGGCTTGAGCCTGTGTAGAGGACAAATGCATGTCAGGGCTGTAAACCTTAAAACAGCAGAAAAAGTTAAATCTGGCCCAGAAGAGAGGGAAATGCCAGGTTCATATCGTTTTCTGTATTATAGGACAGACATACTTTCTCATCTTGGCAGGAGCCTCATGTCTCAATATCAGTGTGTATGAATTCTGGGTGATTCTGTAGCAATAATATTAATTTCAATAATTGCCTTGAAAAAATAAAGTGAACACACCTATAAAAGTCATACTATGCCATGTCCTTCAGCTTTAAAATTAGTAGCTTATGTTTTGCGTGTTTTTTCAAGATGCAATCTTTAATTTTAAAGAAATAAACAAGGTATACAGACCTTTGAAGAATGATTGCAGAGCATGTCTGCTGCAGCTTACCTGTGTTTCGTGGGTATGTTTTGTTTCCATGTTTCTGCTCCAGGGATAAGGAGATTATAGCTAGAACTCTACAGGGAGGTGTCCTTCTACAGAAACATAGTGTTGCTAAAACAGCCCTGGGGCTGAAAATGATTGCTCTGCATGTTGTGGTTTGTGCTACTCCATGAACTGTGGGAGTGTTCAGTGGAAATTGACTGTTCCCTGATGGCTGTGTGGTTCCCCTGGTTGTTCAGCCTGGGTTGTGCAGGTTTGGCAAGCATATGTAGCTGGAGGAAGCATGTGGAGCAGCTGTTGGAGTTTTGGAAGGTAGACTGGAAAGGACTGCTAGTAGCTCAGGAAGTGTTTGTAGAGACGGTGGAATTAAACAGTACTCAGCCTTTCCCCAGAGCTGGTGATCTTTTTCTGTTACTTTGACATGCCTGAATCACATCACCACGTGAAACAACGGCACAGGTATTTGGGCACTACAAAACCAGTGAACGTGCAGATGCCTCCTGCCTCATACTTGCAAGAGTGTTTGTGTCAGTTCCTCAGAGGAACTAACTGCACGACAGCAACAGCTCTTTCTGCTAGGACACACCACCTCTGGTGGGACTGCTGCTTCTCGTGACTGCTGTGTAGCAGTGATTTCTACACACTGCAAACATGATTTGACTTGCCAGCAAACCTTTTTAGGATCAAATGTAAGCTAATTTGGAGCTCTTCATATGTATTGCAGCTTGTGCGAATGCATTGCACATTTGGGGTCTCTGCAGTGATAAAACTGCAGCTGTTMATGACAACTCCATTGTCAAAGCTGCAGATGTACTTCCAGTGATGCAGAGGATCCCACCTAAACAGAATAAATTTGATCTAGTTCTGATTCTGTAGCCCAGGGTTTTATGCTGTAGTTCACTGGGTTCCTGCTGYCCCACAGGCAAAATACCAAGTAGGCAGAATGGTGCAAGAAACCATTCCTTGCTCTCCATGTCAATGTGGCCTGCAGTAACGTTTTRCAAGCTACATGTTTCCTCTGAATGACCCACGAGCAAGGTTTCACAGCCCCAGTTTTTTCTAGTACAGATAAAAGTCATGATCTTGCTTTAATACGCTCTTCCCTACAGGCATATGTAAATATTTTGTTATCTAAYGACACCGCATGACTGGAAGGCTGAGCTAACAGGGTTTCGGAAATTTTCAGTCAAGTGTTGCCAMGTGTCTCTTGCTTGGCCCGTCATCAGAGGGCAGCAGCATATTGGCTGATACTGAATAGTCATGCAGCATGAAGGACTCCAACTCAAGAAACTTAAACAGAAAAAAAAAAAAGAAGGAAAAAACAAGCACAAGAAACCACAACCCTTGTATGGAAAATCACACTACAAAGAGCCAGTGTCCATAAAGGAGACACGGGAGTCCTGCAACATTATTCGAATAAAGGGAAAGAGTCCACTTGTGTGTAAGCCCTGATCTGTGAATCTCATTCAGAGCCAGGCGAGAGAGTTAATTTCTCACATGTGATGAAAGTCCATCTGCTCTCTAGCAGCTGGGCAGTGTGCAAGCCATTAAATCTTTTACAAATTACAACATTGTGACTTCTTCTTTGGGCGAGCCCCAAGATCTATCGAAGTCATTCATTGCTTAGATACTAGAGGAAGACCAGAAAAGAAACCAAGTCCCCATTGTCCCTCTGGCTGGCTGGGGCTGAGGGACTCCCTCTTAACAGGAGCTGCATTCCTGCTGCATTTACACAGGACGTTGGGAAGGCAGCTCCTCACTGCAGACATCAGTGACCTCCCTTCCTGAAGCTGCTCACTTGCCTGTTGGAATTTGTGTAGGCTTTTGGGCTCCATCTGTCTTTAAATGATGACCTCTRAAAAATTTCTCTGAGGCTCCTGAGGAAACAGCAGGATTTGGTAGTGTTAATTAGCACTACTTTGCTGAAAGTCAGTAGCAGGGAAACCACAACTGCTGCTTTTAAGACAGCAGCTTTCTGAAAGCCAGCCCTAGAGCTTTCACAGTAAGAGCATGCCTGTCCTAAAGCATCTCTGAAGGAGCAGGACATGACATGTGACTCCTTTCCCAGAGAATTATTAGTGAGGATCAGTCCCAAGCTTTTTCACCTACAGCTGCCTTTGATGAGCTGGCATGGAGAGGYTTTAAAAGATATTCAGGTAAGTAAACACCACTAATGGCTGGAGAAGAACTGAAAAATATCCTCATACTGGTGTGAGAGCCCTGATAATTGTTGCTATTGTTGTCCACCCTCCAATGTTAGCCAGCACCTTTTCAGTTTGACTTAACTGCTCCCCACCCCTCTGATGGTTCCAGCAGTCTTTCCCAATGTTAGCCACTTGCTGGCTGTAGGGAGAAAGGATGGGGCTGTGCCAAGGTTCTATGACTCACCATCCCAAAGGCCTTATCCTTCCCCAAATCATGCTGAACACACATTGTGGTTCAATGCCAGGCAGCAAMTAAGCACCAAGCAGCCACACACTTGATCATTCCCCACCACTGGTATGGGGAAGCGAATCAGAGGAGTAAAAGCGAGAAAACTCRTGGGCTAAAATAAAAATAGTTTAATAGTTGAAGCAAAGCCWCACACACAAAGCAAAGGAAGGAATGAATTCACCCCCTCCCATGGGCAGGCCACCTCCAGGCAGACCTCATCCCGTGTAAGTTACTTAGAAAGACTAAACGCCATCACTCCGGATGTCCCCCTCTTCCTTCCCCCAGCTTTCTACGCCGAGCACAAGCCAAATGCTGTGGAATGTCCATTTGCTCAGTCGGGGTCCGCCGTCCCAGCTGTGTCTCCTAACTCCCTGTGCACCCCCAGCCTTTTTGCTGTCAGGCAGATAACAAGAGGCAGAAAAGGCCTTGACACTGTGCAAGCCCTGCTCTGTGGTAATGAAAAATCTTTGTATTATCAACCCTGTTCTCAGCACAAACCCAAAACAGCCCCATCCTAGAGCTCTGAAAGAAAATTAACTAACCCAGCCAAAGTCAGCACACCATACAGTTTACAGTAGGGTCAAAGAGAATCTGCATGAGGGAGTAGGGGAGAGAAAAATCAGCTGTGAGGTACAGGGACATAAATCAGCTTTGCCAACAGAAGACCATGCCTCTTATTATTCCAGTCATAGAAATCATTGCCTTCATTATATGCCTGTATTTTTTAAGCATGGCAGCTACTTAATTACATTAAGAGAAATTCATTATCATCATCAAAGAGTGATAGAAATCATGTGACGCAGGGAAGTGGAGGCTTCTTATTACACATATTTTGCCACACACATCTGGTTTTAGGTATTTAGACTTAGATAGTCTTAAGCTTAGACATCACAGTACCTCCATGACAGTCCCAGTATTCAATATGGATGGGTAGGGGAAATTCTTGAGGTAGGTGATAGTTACTCACCTGTTTCTTTGACTAGACATATCTGGAATTGCCAAGAGTCATGAAGCTGATCCACTAACAACACAGAAAAATCTCTGTTTATAGTTTCAACATCAAATAACAATGGCATACGGTTGCTATGGCTATTTATATTCCATCTGGTTCTTATATTGCAGTGCTCTGTTGCAGTGGGAAAATAAGAGATACAGGAAAATACACAATGCATCTTAATTTTTTTTTTATTTGACAAATTGAATGCACTGTTAGGTATTCCCAAGGGGAGGCACATCAAGATACAGACTAGAAGGAAGGGCTTATAAGGTCATCTTACCAGCCTTTCTGCAAACTGCTTGTCACATCTTCCTTCATTAGACACTTCATCACTTCACCTCATGGCTGATATACAGAACTGATGGTCTACACCTCGGATGGATAACTGGCACGTGGCAATAACTTCTCCAACTTCAGATAAAAGTACAGAACCAGCACTTCTCCATAGAGCCCATGGCTTCATGTGTTAGGCACACACAACTGTATAGTGATACATAGAAACGAGATCCCCAAAGGAATCTGTACTTCCTCTCAGACAAGTTACAAGATCCATAATTTAGAAGATCCAGGGCATAATTTAGATCCATAATTTAGAAGATCCAGGGTAGCTAGATCTTGGGTTTTGCTATAAGGGAGCTTGTTTGTCTGTGTCAATCAAGGAAGGAGTGTGTGTGTGTGTGCACGTGTGTGTGTGTGTAGCTGGGCAAACAGGTCTCCGCACGTCTGTGTGTCTGCACGCACATATTTGGATGCCAAAATAAGGTTCTAGCTACAAAGTGTCCCTGAGTTGGATGGCGCATGAATAACAAAGGGAGAGATGAGAATAAGGTTTGATTCCTGGTTGCCCAAGTACCTCATATCAACAGTGCTTAGGAATGATAAAGATGATGGCCAGCGGTGGTTGGGAAAGAAGCCCCCACAGTGGCTGAGTGGTGAAAATTACAGCCATCACCTGGATATTCAACACTTCCAGGATAGCTGTGGTAAAAGTCTACTTTGTGCTGGGCAATGAAGCCCACTGTCTGCTGGACACTGCAGGTCCCCCCTCCTTTGCCAAAGACTCCTCCATCYTCGCTGGTCATGATTGTGTAAGAGTTCTGCCCTGCTCCATAGTGCTGACAGGGGGCAGGCATGGTTTGCATGTTGCCAGCTGCAGTGATGGGGTAGCCCTGGTGGAATTTGGGGTGCATATCCAGGTAAGTACCGGTCTGGAAGCCACTCTGAAAGGGAAAGGCAGTGAGTCAGAACACATAGCTTCTCCATTGGTGTTTGTAGGCCTGACATGTACTGGGGCTCTGTCCCTTCACAGTTCACATTGTCTCTTGACCAACAGCAATGGCAATGGAGGGTAAGAATAACTATGTCCATCCCCATAGATCAGGGGTGGATACACAATCACATATATATATTTATATGTACATAGGAAAACACCTTTTCCCTGAAAACGTTTCTGTGGCATAGTCAGCCYACTACTGGGCTTCCCACAGTACATGGAGGCTCATGCCAAGTCTGTGCCTCTGTGCTGAGCAAACCAGGAGGCTGAGTACCTGACACTCGTATGCTTAAATTACCCCTGTGGAGGAAATACAGGACTGATTGCCCCAGACAGAAGAGCCGTGATGAACCATGTACTGTGTTCTTACTTGTGTGAGGCACTGAGCCCGTTCACTCCACAGGCTGTGCTTCTGGCACCTTTTCAGCTTCATCCTCCGGTTCTGGAACCAAGTCTTCACCTGGGTGAGGAAGGGAGAGCAAAGAAAATGTCAGCAAAGGAGAGGGAAGAACAAATATTACCAAATTCACAAGCAGGAAAAACCAAAGGGGGAGTGAGCAGATGGCAAAGATATACGGGCAGCAACAGATAAAAGCCTTTAAGAACTCCTGGGGGTTGCTGCCAAGGGGAGAGGTCTGTCTAGCAGCCTCAGCAGGTGGCTAGTGCAACTGTGTGATGGGGGAGGGGGTGGCTCTGTGTCAAGAGACAGTAATAGTTGTGACAAAGCGACTCATTCCAATCACGGAGGTGAATGACTGGTATAAATCAGATCCACCCACACTTGTACAAGCCCCCTGCACTACAGGCAAACTTCTAAAACGCTGTTTCTGCATACTTGTGAACAGAGAAGGGACAGACTTGGACCTTGTACCCAGCAGTTCCTAAATTCAAAGCCCCTTGCTGAGGCAAATTCCAGGGCCATTTCCCCCCCGGGCTGTGTCTGTGCTGTGAAAGCAGCCTTTGCAGGGATGTGGATTGAAGGGAAGAGCAGACTGTCCCACCTGTCTTGTTCCTGACAGAACCAGTTTAATGTGTGCTATATGCGTGCTCTTAGAATGCACACACAACTTTTTGAGTCCCAGGGCATCCAGGGCATCATGCCCAGCCCCGAGATCCAAATTCCAGGCAGATTTTGGATTTGTAACTGTAAGCTCTTGTGCTCCGTTGCCCAGCCCCCCCGCTGCAGGAAGGCATAATTTGAGGCAGCATCATTTCACTACACCCAACCTAGTGGAGATCAGCAGGGACCCTGAAGGGCAGTGATGTGTAAACCTGGCAGCACCCACCTGGAGGAGGGAGCAGGTGTCAAGCAGCCAGGCAGTGCTGAGTGTGGAACATTATTAAACACTGGACAAGATAAGCCCTGGGAGGCACTAGCAAGAGCTTTCAGCACATTTCAGAGCTGTGATTCAGAGAACTGATGCATGCCAGGGATTTTGTGACGTTCACAGTGCATGGAAAAATCTGTGAAGTACTGTCAAGCCCAGGGTAAAGACTTTTGTGGCAAATAAAATATTCATCACTGGGTTTGCAATTCTACTACAAGAGTGTTGGCAACAGAACTTAACTGGCTTAACTGACCCCTGACTCGGGAGGCCCAAATGAGGTGCCACTGACCCCTCTATCCACAAAAGTACTTCTGATCTTTGGACATGAATAAGCAGGGGAGCAGCTGTTAGCTGGCACCTTTGCCTCTGTCCCTGCTGGGGACTCATCCTGCCAGTTCCTTATGTGACCATTCAGCCACTGTAAGATCGATATACTGTGGGTCAAAGTCTCCATGTTCACCTGCTTGTAGGTGAGCCCCAGGGCAACAGCCAGCTCCCGGATCTGCTGGGGACTGAGGTACTTCTGGCTCTGGAAACGCTGGTGMAGGGTTTGCAGCTGCTCCTTGGAGAAAGCTGTGCGGCTCTTGGTCTTCCTCATCCCCTCCACGCCATATTCTCTGCCCTTCTGAGACTTAGCTGTAGGCTGTGGGGATGAGGATGATGAATGTGGACTGGTGGCTGAATCTGGTGTGAATTGGCTGAAATTCCCAGAACTGGACGAAGCTGGGGATACTTCTATAAATAAAAAGACAATGAGAAAAGGTATACAAGACATAGCATAGCAAAGATATACGAGACAYAGCATGAGCATGCTCCTTGCCTGCTATATAGCTCCTTGCCTACCAAAAAGGAGCCTTTTTGAAGCTAAAGCTTGTGTGACCATCCTTTCTTCATGGATCTGTGAGCACAGACAAGCACATTGAGAGTGAGCAGCTTCCCAGCTCAATTCCCTCCGGGATTCTCATGGCCCCCTTTTGCCAGGCAGAAAAGTCAGGGCAGGGAGTGGTGCAAGAGAGCGGTGCACGTTGTTTCAGTGAACTATCCTCCGCCATGTTCTGTGCATGGGGCTAGATCACAGAACCTTGAGGAAGCTGAACATCCATGAACTGGCTGCATGGGAAGCTAAAACTTGGCGAGGGATCACAGGATGCTTGGCTCCTGGAGACTGTACGGTAAAAACCTTATAGGCAGGAAATAAGCATGCTGGTAATGTGGGCTGGGAAAACAGGAAAGTCTCCTATTAGACAGGGACCACAGCAAGACACTGCAGAGCTAAAGCCCCCACGTTCCTGCTCAGCTTGTCATCCCAACCCCCCATGTAATTTACCAAGTTCAGGGCAAAAGCACTCTCTCTCCCATTACAAGAGGGTTAAGAAGAGAGGAAGCATGAAACACAAACAGTGCAACAGACATGAACAGGGAAGCCTGTGACAGACCTACTTCCACAAGCCCCAGACATCTGTAGGCCACAACAGAGGAGAGTGTTTGAAGATGGGGTTTCAGTCTATGTACCAGGGCCAGTGGGGGGAGTCCATATGCCTGCTGYCTTTGTGGGGCAGGCAGTGTGCAGAGAACCCAAGCCTTTCTCCAAACCACATGGCAGGTAACCACATGCCAAGAAGCCAGTCAGTCACTCTGCCTGAGCCTGTAGCTTTCTGTAGCAAATGACAGCTTGAAAGTGGCACCCCAAAACCTGGCTCTCCTCCCACCCATTTACCTTGCTTGAGCGTTGCCCTGCTGACCATAATGTGAGACTGGGCGAAAACCTGCTTTCATCAGCTCTTCTATTGCCCCTCACTGGAGTGGGAGAGAATGGCAGGAACAGAAAATGCCACTGCGGAAGGACCTGGGACTTTTTGGTAAAATGGGAAAGGCAAAGCAACGAAAACAGAAAGCAGAGGGGGAAATAGAGGAAAATGGCAAACTGAAAGAAGCAATGATAACAATTTAGATAAAGTTAAAAGAGCAGATCTCCCAGCACGCAGTGATTCAGAGCAGGCCTTGGCTCATGTTTAATAAGCACATAAAAGGCACAAGGAGTTTGTAAGGGGATAAGGGATGCCACAAGAAGTATCTCCAGGRTCTGTTTCTCTCCATAGCACACATAGCTCCATAGCATTTAACTAAAATGAAGCCCAGACATTCCTGCCCCAAGAATCGTGAACTTCCATGAGGCCAAGTTGTCACGCTGCCCTTCAGCCTGGAGCACAGACCTGACAGTGCCTTAACTCTGGCAGGCTCTGCTGAGGTTTAGGGAAGCGGGTGGCAGTCACCAAACAAAAGTAGCATGGAAAAGTGGTGAGGGTGGCCAAGGTCTCCCATCCACCTTGYCTACCACACTGCAGTCTTCCTAGGTCACACACTAGGAAACCAAGGCAAGGAGAGAGAAAAATGTGCTCAAAGCCATTTGAGCTGACATGGGAGCACAGGTATCCAGGGGATCAGCTCCCGGATTTAGCTGAAAGGCCTTACCTGCTGTGAGCCTCTTCCCTCCCGCCTCCGGAGAGTGCCTGGCCACGGTTGCTCCCGCCGGCCCGGCTGCTGTGGGGGCCTGTCCTTGTCCTTGTCCTTGTCCTTGTCCTTGTCCTTGTCCTTGTCCTTGTCCTTGTCCTTGTCCTTGTCCTTGTCCTTGTCCCGCCTCACCCACCGCGTTCCAGTAAAACTCCAGGTACCCCATGCCAGGCCCGCCGGGGTACGCCTGGTACGGGGGCAGCGCCAAGTGTGCGCACATGGGGAGCAGCCGAAGGGCTGGATCCCCCACCTCACAACAGATGTCACCTTCTCTTGGGGGACAGGTCTCAGCAGTGGGCTGAGGCAGCCCCGAAGCGCAGGCAGGCCTTTATAGCCGGCCATTCCCTGCCTGGGACTGCAATATTCCCCGTGGCCCGCTCCTCCAGGCTCTTTGTCATGTTAAAGAGGCTGATGGGTGGGGTGGGGACAGGGCAGGGGGCAGGGTGAGTAGCACATGGCATCAGGGCTGAAATATGTCCCATCTGAATTCCTCCCGTTCGGCAGGTTCCTYGGTCACACCTGAGCAGGGGCTGATCCAGAGCCCCAGGACAACTCCCGCTTGCTTTCTTTGGGCTCTGCTGAGCGTGTCGTGCCTCCAATCCCGGTGAGCGCGGATGTCCTGTACCAGACAGCTGTTCACTGCATTGGGAGAACAACMCAGCCGGTCTCCACCACAGGGCCGTGCACAGGAGGTAAAAGCTGGTGCTGAACTGCTCTGTGCCATGCCGGCCAAACCCACAGCCCGGCCTGAGGTCGTGGGGAGGGCTCTGGGACCTTTGCTTTGTGGCCTGTGTCACACTACCTTTGTTTTGTGGCCTGTGTCACACTACCTTTGTTTTGTGGCCTGTGTCACACTACCTTTGCTTTGTGGCCTGTGTCACACTACCTTTGCTTTGTGGCCTGTGTCACACTACCTTTGCTTTGTGGCCTGTGTCACACTACCTTTGTTTTGTGGCCTGTGTCACACTACCTTTGCTTTGTGGCCTGTGTCACACTGACACCCTGCCAAGGCCCACACACACCCCCTACTGACCTGGCAGCACTTCCCACACTCTTGGTGCAGATGTCAGAGGTGGAACAGGGGGAGTAACAATTAGAGCTGGGGGCCAGAATACACTTTGGGTTGTTTTTTGAGACTGAGAAGGCATTTCCTGCACACAGGCATTCAAGGGAGCCAGCTGAAAATGTGTTTGGCCCATCTTCAATAAGCCTGTGCCAGAGCAAACTCGGAAACGCTGGGCAAGTCACATCAACACCAGATCTCACTTTGCAGAGCAGGCTCAGAAACCTCAGCTGGCTGGTCTCCAGGGGGACAGCCAGCAGAGACATTTTCACTRTGGAGCTAGGAAAAGATCTAGCCTGTGTAAAGCCCACGGCTAACAGATTTGCTTGCCTATGGCCTTTCAAAGGCACACTGTTTCATTTRTGTAGCCTTGTCTGTGGCCTTTACCAGGCTGTGCAGGTTGGTTGGGAAAAAGGAGATAAAGAGTTTCCTTTARGACAGGTTTAGCTGATGTTTGCTGACATATGGCCTACCCAAGGGGGACCAGCACCTGCAGAGCTGTTCATTAAACAACTAAAGGTAAGTGAGTGAACTGCAGAATTCAGCTCTGTGCCTGCAGACTTGTTTTGATCCCTTCTCATCAGCAGGTTTTGCTCAGCCTGTATTTAGGAAAATTTTATTAATTTTTTCTAAAAAGACACTGTGAGCCTCTCACTAATGTCTGTTCCTCAATAGAGAGAGAGAAGTTCTAGGGTTAATTAAGGTGTTTCTTGCTAGAGCCAGTCCTGCTTTGGCACCAGGAGATGTGCATGCCTCATGTTAGAAGCTTGGAGCTGAGGGTGCCAATCTGCAGAAGTGTAAAATGATTTCAGATGGGCAGTCCTTGCACCCATGTGTACCTCATAAGTCCACAAATGCTTGCTGCTACTTTCATCCCAAACGTGTGCTGGCATCCCAGTGCCTGCCCAGCAGGCCAGAGAGGGGCACCTTCTTGCTGTGAGAGTGTTCAAGCATCAGCAGGGAGAAGGTAACAGAGAGGTGGGTGTGARCAACAGAAATAGGAAGTAGAATTTAGATCAGTTTAAAAGGATGTAGAGCACCACTTCTACCAGGACATGGCCTGCTGCTCTGTGCCCGTGGCAGGTCACTAAATCTGGCATCCCTGTCTGTAGAGACACTTTCCCGTGAGGTACAGACTGGAGGGAGCCAAGGACCTGGCTAGAGTCTCTTTAACTTGACACTGAGTTTCATGTTTTCTCTTTACATGAAACACTTTTTTGTGACTACAAACTGCAAGGATTAACATATCTCTGCACGAGAATGGCAGGTTTTTGTGTTAAATTTACTTGAAAAACTTAAAGAAAAAAAGGGCTTTTGAGCACATCTGCCTTAATAGAAACCTAAGAACATTCTGAAAATGTCAACTATAATGCAGCAGCCTCTACAAGGTGGCTCTGGCTCATGCCTCTCTTCTGAATCATTCAGAGCTGCAGTGCCACAAGAGCTCAGATCATTGTCCCTCACATCTGCCCTCAGGCCCTAGCTGATTAAACACCACTTACATGAGTTGTTCAGTTTGGGATCTCACTGGGCAACTCCAGTGCCACCAGTCAAGGAGAATGTTACACTCTCCTTCTTACTCATGCCTGGCCTGTTATAATATACTGGTGTTCAAGTTTTCATGGCCTTAGGTGCAGTTAGAATATAAAAACAAAGTAGCAGACCTGGAAGGTATCAGCATCTCTTTCGGGATTGTTGAACCTAAAGACCTGGCAGAAAACATGGTGTTGGTGGCAGTGGGTGTCTGTGTAGCTGTTGGGAGTTTCRCTGGCTGAGCACTTCACACTTGATCTCACAGATTTCAGCTGCTTCTGAAGGTGTCTGGGATCTTTCCTACAAAGTGCCCAGAGGCCATAATAAACCAGCCTAGTCACTTGCACTACAAAGTCCCTCTGGGCAGCAGCCTGGGAGGAGGGTGGTGTCACTCCTGGGAGCAGAGCCACTCGCCCAGTTGGACCAGTGAGTGGTGCAGCACTGAGGGAGTCACTTCCCTGAGGGCAGGAGGGGGACCGAGGGGCAGAGGAGCTGACAGAACCTTGGGGGCATCATTCCTGGGGTTTCAGAACAACAGCACCTCTGAGGCAGCAGCTTAYGTCCCCCACAAAACATGTGACACAAGTGTTGTGTCACAAGCCAGATCATGGTTGTTTGGTACTGTTTTAACCCAAATATTCAGTGTTACCTGACAATGATCTCAATTAATGCATTCCCAGGCACACGCTCTTGGCTAAGAGGGCTTTCTGATCTCTTAAACGAGTTTTCTCTTCTGTACCATGAAGCTGAAAGCACACTTCACCAAAAAGGGCAAATTCTTCACAGGCGTGTTAGTACCTGGATCTTTCATGAACAGCTAAGTAATTTGCATCCTCGGAGATGGCACTGAGCTCTCCAGCAGTCACAGCAATGAAACAGTGGCCTGCCAATTGCCAGGTGAGCCTGCAGAGCAAGTCCCTCTGGGATATGAGTTTGTCCTGAAAAAGGAGTCAGAGAAGGTCAAATGAAAGAGCTCAGGTCTGAATCAAGACACTGATTCTGAGATGTCTGCATTCTGGCAGTGTCCCATAGCAGCAAACTTGCAGGCAAGGCTTGGCATCTACAGGATGAGCATAACAGAGCAAGAACTGAAAGTTAAAGCTGTCAAMATCCTGAATAGACTTGGATATTCAGTCACATTTGAGCCCTTGCAAGTCACCAMTTCTTGGTGCAGCTCTGCCCAGCAGCCTCTTCAGTGACCATGCAGCCGATGCCACCAAGAGAACTCTCACTGCATGTGTTTTAGGCGTCCTTCTTGCTACCACTGTACCAGGAAGACGCCAAGTTCCTTGGAAGCTTRGCCTCACCAGACCCCACAAGGGAGGGGCAAGAGGCACACGTGTCCCCAGAGGTGCCTGCACTGCAGGTGAGAACCTGGCAATCCTCCCAAGTCTTTTTGGCCCATACAGTCTCTTTCCACAACTACTGATATTAGCCAACAAGTATTTTATTCTGTCCAAGTTGGCTTAAAAAAGAAAGMAGTGCTTTTCAGTCTTTGAACTTCCTCAGTGTGGTTTTGGTTAATTATTCAAAGATGGTTAATATAGTTGTTTTAAGAAAAAGGCTTTGATAGCATTGTTTTATAGTGTTTCTCCTGCTTTTTGAAGCCTCAAAAAATACCCTGCTTTGTTTAAACATTTACAGGGTTGTTGGGGTCGCTGTTGATATTAATGGCTTCATTAAATGACATTTTAACAGCAAAAATTGGAAAAGTAATGCAGTTTGAAGGATAAGAAGCAAAGTAGCTAGAACTTTTACACATTGCAACATTGCCACTCTGTTCCCCTTTTAACCACTTTGTTCAGCATGTTGATTCTTTAATTGAAACTTAACTTGAATTTGCTTCTCTTAAAACACCATATGTTTCTCAGAAGACTTTTCTTTTGGTGACTGATGATTTTCTACATTTTGTCTTTGCTTTCTGTGAGACTGGGCTATAATCTAGTCAGATCCATGTGCTTGTCTGGTGTCACAATGACCTTGTACTCCTTGTAAATACTGTTAATGAATCTACACCAGAAAAGGGATTTTCTCTCTTTTAAAAAAAGAGGCTTGCTCAACTGAGGCTAGGCAGGGGAAAGGAGAATTTATTTAAAAAAAAACATAAATGAGCTGCTGCTTTTTGGGGGTTTTAGCTTGTCATACTGGGCTGATGCATTCTGAAAGGCTGAAAAATTCGGAAAGGGGTAAAATAACTTCCCATTGAGGGAATACAGCCAAATTTCATCTGGGTGATCATA